GTTAACGTCCCTCTGGCTATTGGTTTTGTTTCAAGAAACTTGAAAATTGATGAGGAAGAAGCTACTTGTTCTCTCCGTCCAAAGCAGTCATCTTCCCGAGGCACCAACGGGACAGTGTATGAAGCAATGTGGATTCACGACACCTGTGCCCTCCCCCGCCTTCGGCCTTATTGACCCTACCGCTGCAGCGGGCCCAGGTGGGGGAAGAGGACGGAGTGCGGTAGACGCTGTGCAAGTCTACAACCAACGTAATCTAACTCATGTACACATTGCCGTTCCTGTTTTACCATTTTCGGAGCGCACGGTAGACATCATCGGCAACGACGATCGAACTATCGAACCTTGCAGGAGACGAAGGCCTCTGCGTGCCCATGTAGTGGTCGCAGCGCCTTCGATTTGCGCGTGACTTCGTTTGTTCTAAGACGGACTTGCGTAGCCCCTTCCGCACTCCCTCCCCGTTGAAACCCCCCCCCCGGCCGGCTGGCAAGGCAGTGTCAAGACGACCGACAGTGGAGGCTGGTGTAGTGGCTGATAAAGCCTAACAGTTCGTATACACACGCCACATGCACTACCTGGTACTCACTACATGTCGGAGGGCACTGTGGTGGCTACTCGGACTTCACATCAGTAAGAATGCTACGAAGACCACTTTGAGAGCAGGGCGCTAAATCCCGTCCCTCAGCCCCCTCGAGGATCATATTATACCGTTAGTTGGCAACTTTCCGGGCTGCGACGTTGAACGCGTCGTGATACAGTCAAATGCGTCAGATCTATTTCAAGCAAGGAATGCGCCGATTTTTTTCGTTTCTGATTACCCAGTCGGCGTGCAATTTGGCTGACACCAACCCAGCTTGAGCAGAATGCCGAGGGCGTAGCGTACATCATCGGTGATTCACAATAGTATGTTCCTGACACACTCGACCTTAGCTAACTTTATGCCCCCTAGTCGTTCTGTTGGGATAAATCACTCATCTAAATTGATCTGAAACCTGGCTGGCCCTCCGCATCGAAAGATTTAAAAACCTCCATTTCCTGGGTTTGGTTCTTGACGATTCCTTAAGAAATGCCCACCACCGCTACTGACAGTCAAGTTGACTCCAGACTGCCTCGACATTTTGCTGCCGGTGGCTGTTGAGAATTTTACTTTATCCAGCAATGTATGGGGTGTAACCCCCTTGAAGAGACTACAGCTAGCTACAAACCTACCGCCAACCATGGCCATGCCTCCAATGGATAACCTCTAATCCATAAGCACTTAAGGTTAACTCGGACGTAACACAAGCCAAGACCTTAAACACTGACCCTCGCCTCAACTCCAAATCCAAACAGTAAACCAAGACTGGTAGCCCCAGTCCCAAGCATAATCCAAGTAACACCTGTCCAAATTCTGACTTTGAGGCCAAAACGGACAAAGACAATGTCAAAAACGCTATTGAAGGTCAAAATCGACTTCCTGCATAACCTCCTTCGCGACCTTCAGCCAGACCCACCTTATTAATCACGTCCACTTAGGTAAGTTAAGAAGGTAGGCTTTTGAGCAAACCCTCAGGGGGTCGCTTACCACCCCCCCTTACCTTATATGCCTCCAGCAGAAACGCAATCTACTCCGTTGTCTGGTGAAAAGTACTAAAAAATCTGTTCGACAGACAGCGTCGACGAGGAACTTAGATAGCCCCAAGACCTGCTTCGTGAGAACAGGGACCTTGGCCCGTTTATTGCTAAGAATATTACCAAGAGAACTCAAAACCCATCACACTGGCGGTGTAGAAGGAATCTGTTCCTCAAAGTCCATTTTCAAGTGAACGCAGCCAGTGAACTCCTGGGAAGACGCCTGGACCATGCTGTCCTACGAACCTTCCCGGCAACGAGTCTTCGGATATTATTCTCAAGGTGAGAATAGGTTGCGAGCTCTGATCACCTCCTGTGGGGCAGGTTACATAGGGTTTACAGGTAGGCGCCTATCCAAAAGAATACGCGAGTATCTCCCGGCGTGGTCGGGAAAGGCAGGATTAATAGCCTACTCAGCGCTATTCTTGCATCATGTGGACCCCAACGACACCTTCTGTGTGGTTTGCAAGCTCCCGTCGAACTACCACAAGTCACAGAGTCACCATCTGCTAATGACAACAGAAATGGCCGCCTTCAGTTTGCGGAAGCCCAACTTGAGCGGACGGTAGAAACTGGTACAAGCCTGTCGTATACAAAGGTCAGCTACCTCCTCCGCGCACTCCCCTCCTCTCCAAGCCCTCACTATCTCCCAAGTCACGGTCTCTTATGGCCTCCACCCCCAGCCCCTCTTGTATGAAAAGATAGACTTTTCTTGTCGCTTGCCTGTTTTGCTTGTATCCCGTCCCCATACACAGTGAGTGACCGATCTCATGAAATGTTGGCCGAAATTCCGAATTGCGTTTTCGATTAATATGGATTACCTAGGTGGAGTTGCATTATTGATTATCATGCGGCATCATTCTATAATGTTTCGGAATCTCCGTATGACGAGTTTTTAATAAAATTCCTTCCGACTTCCTGTGAAAACCGTCCCGTTAGTCTTATAAATTTAAATATATTTTATAAAAAATATACATACTAACATACATACAGACTAAAATACGCTTTCCTTTACTCTTTTGATAGAGAACCACGTCACCTTCACATTTTATGGTCAAAGAATGAGTATAATTAGGTTTTGAAAAAGTTTTCCAAATCCCAAATCATTTTGGGCCTCATCAGCCGTTGCATAAGTGTTTGGCGATTTCAGTTTACAAGGTGCATGTTTACCGCTTAAGAAAAAGCATATATCCCTCCACGTCTTTAAGAAGATACCACATAGAGTTCATTAAATTTTGCAGTGGACGTAGATTTGTTGTACGTTTCACGAGGGGCACTGGTAAACGTGCAGGTCGATGCTGTATGAATGGACATAGCATGTTCTTAAAAAATCTCATAAATAGAAACATTTTTAAAACTTAATTATACTTATTCTCCAAGTATAATGTGTGAATTTGACGTTGTTCTCTATGAAACGAGTAGTCAAACGCATATTTTAATCCATACTTTTTATCAAATTTATTTGAATTTATAGGGCCATCGAAGTCAATGTAAAAAATGCATGCTGCATAAGTGGCCATTTTAGTACTGAGTGCGGTTTCTACAGGTCGAAGAGAAGTGCATTCAAAAGCCGTCATACTGGAAAGTCCGAAACATGGGATTGTGCTGCATGATAACCAATATTGCAACCTCATCTAAGTTATCCTTCCTTGTCGAAAACGCATTTCATATTTTTGGCCAGCATTTCATGGGGTCGGTCACTCACACACACTGTAAATTTACAAGTCTGACAAGAATTAATCAAAAAACGGACTCGTCTTCTGAATCCTCCCGTACGGCAATTCCAAGCCGTAGAACCAACAAACCATTTTTACTCCGGTTATGCTGTTTGGAGGGTCATCAGTGCAGGCAGCCGCTCAGAGTATTTGCGTGAATTCGTTAAGGAAAGTTGATTGGGTAACTGCCAAACGTTCTCCAACTGCATCATCAAAGTGCGATGACTAACACGTTGCAGGTCTCAGAAGCAACTCCGCTAAAAAAATTTGTTGCACTGCAAATGTCGCTCCCACCCTGTTTGTGAGGCCACACCTTGTGCATCTTTGGTTTTTCTCAAACCTCAAAACTAGCCCTCATTAGGTGTACTACAACTGACACAAATAATTCAAGTCGTCCTAGGAAAAAAAGCCGATCTGACAGAACCGATCATGTCATTCTTATACTATATGACTTTCTTCTAATCGACAAACCATGCGACTCGTCTTGGCTTTTTTGCAATTATTCATGGCCTCTTGAATATATGTATATATATATATATATATATATATATATATATATATCTAGGTCGGGAGTACGGTATAATACCTTTACCATATGAAATTCATACTACTCGTAGTACTACTTGTTTGTAGAATGGGCATTACGTGGTTATTCCACAGTAGTTGATTGTCTTCGACTCAAATGTTCATTGAAATTTCGGTTCTGACCCTAAAAAGTCATGTCCCGGAGATTTAACTCCAAGTTCTGCACTGATTAATTTC